AAAAAAACAGTCGGTTTATCACTTAAATATTTATATATTACATGTATTACAAATTATAATTATACATGTATATACATAATTATGTATATTGTTTACACATATAATGTAAATTTGCAACAAACAAAAATAATATAGAAGATGTTCGGGATTAAAAAGATAATTTAACTCTTTGAAAAATCTGTAATTAGTTTTTTTATCGAGTGCTTTCACAGCAAGATCTAATTACAAGATCTACTGATCTTCATTACACCGAGACGGAAAAAGTTTCTAAAAATTAAACTCTGATAGAGTGTAAATGTATACGCCACGTTGTATTTCGATGAAATTTACGGGTAATTTCCGTAAGAAAGACATAACTTTGATGTTTCATATAATTAGTGGGTATTACACATATATGCGCGTGCAGAGGCGCGTATGCGCGAGAGTGTATCACAAACAAGACGACGTTCCCGATCTACAAATACACTGAAAGGGGGTCGCGAACGACGAAGTTGCGAAATAAATTATCGATCTCGGCGGAGTTTCTGAGCTAGGCGAACCGATCTTGAAAGACTTTGACAAAGAAATGGATGGCCACATACGGCAGTCAATTTATTTTCGCTCTTCACACGGCGCACACAATGCGGAGTAACTCAAGAATATACGTCATCGGCCCATTAATTATGCATGATGCCGCAATCGTACATTATTGTATAATTTTTATTACACAATGAACGTCATTCGTTGTTTTATATAAAGGTTAGCTATAATTTTTAATATAATTCAACATACAGCGTGCGAAGGCGCAATCTACTTGTGGATCTATATCATCGTGACATAACAGAAATATATTATCCTATTATCCGCGAATTTCTGCCGCGGGTTTATGGTGGGCACGACGGTATATTATCTAATGCGTTGAGAGATCCCTTAGGAAAATTGGAGGCGGAAATTCTAATATGCGGGTGTTAAAAACTTGTAAATGAAAAACGCGTGAAACCCACCCGTTGAAACCAACGAAACGGAAGATGTATAAATCTCTCATTACGCGAGTAATTATGGGGAACGTATACCTAATTGGGGTGGATATATTTTATGCTTGATAAAACAACGATAAAATTTCATGAAAAGTTACCGTATTGCTACCAAGTTAAACTTAGACATTAGCCGTGCGGGTATAGTAATGGTTATTTTATTACTGTATAACCGTTCGATAGTATATTATTAAATGGACTATTTTAATCGGTCGCTATTGGTAATTTTTAATCGACCATTTGTTTCTGAGACCGGGACATGTCATGCAGTTTTTTTTTAATCTCATACGTGTGTGTAACATTTGTGCACGATTGAAAATACGTTTAATGAAAATTCACACTTGATAAAGCTTGTTGAACCCGTTGAGATAAACCGCGGTATCCTAGTTTGCTACATTGAATAAAATCGTGATGCTTCGCGCGATATGTGCGCGATTCATTCCACGGCTTGTAGTTTCAAGCATGGAAGCATCGTCGGCTGCTGGGGGCCACTTTATCGAGTAAAGTCACTACAGCAGCTTTTACAGGAATTACTCGCTGAATTGCAGCGAAGGGCGCTTCGACATAAGTAAAGTGTACACAATGGATTCATCGCGGTACCTATAGCTAAAATCCTAACGCTGCGCGCGCGCCGCTTCATTGAATTAATCTTAGTCTACGAGCTTTTACCGTGATCGCGGGAATCGTGAAAAATGATCCTATTTATTTTGTTTAAGACGAGATCTATCACGAGGAGAAACGCTTCAACTCTGGCTTCCGTGCCGATATATGCGAGGAAGATTCTCTTATTCTCGCCATTCTCCGTCATTGAAAATCATTGCTTTCATTGGAATAATTGAAAACGCCGAGATCCTGCGTGACAAAGATCTTAAAACAAGTTCAGGTCGTTCCTTATTCTCATTGTAGCATAATTTGATTCTCAGGTGGGAAAAAAAAAAGTGGACGACTCGACGAAGCCGGCCGTGAAAGTTAAGATCGCGAAAGGGGCCGTCAGGAAAAATTAACATTTCAAAGTACAGGATGCGTGTGCGAGTAGATCGCGCGAAAGGGTGGCACGGTAGCGAGCAGACAACCTCGTGTCCCGCACGTTTGTCGAATAAATTACGCGATTTCTAATTAAGTACGACTAAAGTGCCTATTAGAGTTGGCTCGTTAATCCCTCTACGTTGAGCGACATTTTTCCCCTGGATTCACATCCGTACAATTGTTCAAAGCTCTTTTAACGCAAATCTCATTTTAACAAAGTGCTGTTTTTTTTCTGACGAACGAGAGATTTCCCGTTCTCTTTCGCCCTTTCGATACAATCGGGGTACACACTGGCGTGAGATAATGATAGTTAAATAAATGACAAGGATGTTGGAACAAATAGACGAATCGCGATTTATCATAATTAACTATGCGTACGTATAACAGATAGACGATTTTATCAATAATCACGTGATTTATTTCATTACCGCATAGTTGAACGTTGATTAAGGTTGATTCTTTGAGAGAAACTGAGTTTAGGCTGATGAAATAAATTTATTAAGTTTTATTCTTCGACAATAAATAGCGTCTAATAATAATATGTGCGCTACGGAGCTATACACATCGCGAGACAAAGCCCTGCGCATTCTGGTTAGTGTGAATATTTTACTGCGAGTATTATCCGATCGATCACAATCTACTCTATTATAATATAATAATTGTAATATTATGACAAACGTGGCCGGTCGGATAATTGTTGCTTAAATAGTAATAACGCAAAGTGTTTCTTAATCCGGGAAGAAATATACCGACGTGATCTCCGTTCTTGCTTAGAACCTCAAGACTATTTCCGAGATGCCTCTTACGTATTGAAAAATATTCCGGACCGCCGTATTTCTCAGCCAGAGCGAAGGATATATTTGTCCCAAGTGTCGTACTTTTAAATTATTACAATCCCGTCTATTTGTCGTTTGTCAATTTCACATTCCGACGGAAGGAAGGGAAAGCGACAGCTTCAAGCAGAACTTTCTCTCGGCGAGATTACCGTTCTCGCCGTTCCTCCGCGGCTCGTCCGGCCTTCTTTTTCGCCTTCCACTAGACTAGGGAAAGACTAGACGACGAGCCCGGCCGCGCGACCAATTTTCATAGCGCGCGACACCGGGACGAGCCGCGTATCTCATTGCAGTAAGCGGGCGACCCAATTTCATAACAATGCAACCCCCGTCCGCCACGCACCCCGAGCGCGCGCGGGTGTGTGCAAACGAGACGCAAACAAACGGAGGCAGGGTAGAGAAAATGGAGATGGGAGAGGCGGGCCCGTTTTGCCGCTACCGGGGCTGCGGCAGGCGAGCGACTGGGGTTCCGCAATTTAGAAGGGCACCGGGTTTATGAGCGCCGACGACGGTTATTTATACTTGCGCGTATAAACGTAAGGGAGAAGACTCGCTCGCGTATTTCGCTCACGTCGAATGGTACCCGCCCGGTCCGCCGCGCGGTTCGCGATTTGTCCATTAGAATCCATTAGACTCCGTAATTTCTAATTACCCCGCGCCGAACGGGGCGACCGACTTTCCGCGGAAGCCACGAAAGTTACGAGCTCGCGAGATGATAACGAAGTACTAAAAGACGCAATTTTAATTTACAAAATTACTCCCGCGGGAATATGCTCGCCGAAATAAAGCACCGCTCTCAAGTGAAATAACGTCTCCGAGAGGTGAATATATACATGCATTTATGTGTTTGTCTGGAGAACGGTCCACGGAAGGCTTAATTCGCCTCCGACGGCGGCAGAGAGACGAAGAGAGAGTGAGAGAGAAAGAGAGAGAGAGGAAAGAGACGAGAGGAGATGGATAGGGAAGACCTCCCCCGCGCGCCCACGGTTTTACGCGCTCGCGTGAGTCGAAATTCATGCAGCGCAGGAACTGATATTTCTCAGAAAATGAATCACCCTTGTACAAACGAACCGACACACCGCGGTAACAGCGGCACAATAGTCAGACAATAGCAAAAGCGCGGGTGGTTGCTGGCTGGTAGCTAGCGAAAGGGACTGGATGACGGCGGGGGTGTGGGGTGGGGGGGGGGAGGTCGAAGGGGAGGAAAATAGCGGAGGGACGCGAGAGCTCGGGGGATGAGCACGGGCGAGGGTGGGAGATTTCGTGGGTCGCTTCTCCCTCCGCGTGTGTGGAGCGTGTGCAGGTGGCGAGGCGAAGGAAGGCGACGAAGGGGGAGGGCGAGGAAGGATGGAGGGATGAAACTGCGCTCTCCAGACGGAAGCAGGATGAAGGTGCGCCTTTCCGCGTATAAACCGCGCCGAGCCGTACCGCCAAACATCACCCTCTTCCTCCTCTCCTCCTCCTCCTCCCCCCCCCGCGCAAATTAAATAACCCACATCCATTAAAGGCGTTGCCGTTACTCTTCCGGGTTCGTACCTGGTTACCGAGCACTTAATGTCTAATTAACGTATTACGCAAATCGCCTGATAAGAGCGAGCAAATGCGCGAGCGAACGTCGCGCGGATCGATAATTTATGATTCGCCCCTGCGCTCGAAAACCTCCTCTCTGTCCCCCTACCTGGCTCCATTCGCGTCTAAGTCGAGAACTGTAGATCTCGTTTAGTAGAAAAGAGGATTAATCACTTTTGCCAATAACGAATCAAATTTACTCTGACGAATTTTGGACGAATCTTACGCGTCGCGGGGATAATTTCCTGCGATTCTCACCAAGCGTATTTTTGGCAGTCGACACCGTTCTGTCGTGTTTAAAGATGTAAATCGCATGTACGTTGTACGTACTTTTGGCTCAGATCGAAAAAGGTCTTATTAATCCGAACGCTCTGCGAGACACACTCTCTCTCAAGATTGAACCGATATAAATATTTAAGTCACTTATTTTGCAGCCGGATGAATAAGCACAATCTCGAGAAACTTATTAAAATCGAGCCTTTGTATCATTTTACGTCGGCATCACGTTCAACTTTCAACAGTGCAAAATATAATTTACTTTCACAATAAATGATTACTCAATAGCGCCAAAGTAATTAAATAAAGTTCAAACAATAAATAATATAATAGTAAACATGGTTAATTGTTTAACACGTAACGTGTTTGTCTTTTTGACCATAACATTTAAGATTATGAAACACATTTTCGGACAAATTCGACGCAGGAGCAATTGCTGAATTTTATATACGTTTTTACACGGCGTCAAGCCGCGTCGTTAAAAATGCATCTCACCGCAAACACAACAGTGTACTTATCCGAAATTACATTGCCTTAAAACGCACGAGCGTTAATTAATTACTACAACTAGTTGCGGACAAAGCGTATTAAAACATTATAAGTTATCACAAGTTATTATCAAGACTAGAATTATCTCTATATTCCACACGTCAAAAGAATCAAAGTCAAAAGAACGTTACACCTCTCCTCTGTACTCATTCGTAATGGTATCCTCCTTTTAAAATATTTCTTGAGTTTTAATATAATATTGTAATTTTAATACCAGCTTAAATTATATAATGACTGAGACAAAAGTAAGCTTTGATTAAATTCCCGCGTCTAGATTTTCAATAAATTCAGTATAAAAGCTTTTATTGGCCACTACATTTTCGCACCTATTTCGCACCTAATTTTCAAAAATAAACTTTTTTTGTACGCGTACTAGCGTACGCGTTTTAAAAGGGAGACATTCTGGTATAGTTTACGTAACTCTAAAACTTCCAAATTCCTAAGCCGCCGTTTTACAGGCGTTTTCTAAGTCGAGAGATTTAAATTACATGAATTTTCTTTAGTTAAAGATAAGAAAAGCGAAGTAACAATGTAGACAGATTTCAGCGACACGATGACTGATGATGAGAAACGTTTCTTTCACGAGCACCGCGCGTTATCACGGACACCTATACATACATATATTCAAATGACCGTTCCTTGGTGTTCATGAAATTTAAAACCTATCGACCGGCATACAGCAACTAGATTCTCATGAGATTGCTCCTTTGAGGTCTGGTCAATCGCGGCGGCACTCATAGTCCTGGTTTATCAAGCTGCCCTTCACTCTCTTGCGAGGCTTTCATGAAATTTAATAGGTTGTCCGATATACTCTTCGCTTTTTCACGTCAAGTCGGTTCATAAGAAACAAAGGACGCCGGCGCTAACATTTTTTTTTCCCCCCCTAATACTCTACTAGCTCTTATACAATCTTTTACTACCTTTCCCTCTTCGCAACATTTGATTTTAATTGCGCAGCGTAGTTGCATGCTGAATATTAGCAACGTTGTGTGTGTGAAAAGTGCTTCTAAAAGATATTACCATTTTCACATTACTATGCACTTTTTCCAACGCATTACTATTATACGTGAACGGCTTATTTTGCAAATAATGTAATCTTGTTTAAAATCGTATTGAGGCCAACGGGCCATCGCGCTCAAATTTTAGATTCCGTTGTAAAGCTTGATTTACGTGATTTCGAAAATAAACGGTTTGCTCGAGAGGGATTTTAATCTGCATGCAGTGAGGAATGATATTATGCACATCGGGCACACGATCATCCTCCGAAGAACTAGAAGCTATTTATGTATTATTATGCCCAGCTACCATCCCCTGTGGAAACGATACACCCTATCTCGCGTTGCGTCGCCGGTATCTAATAGCCTTTACTCCTTATTCGTTTCGTATAATAAAAGGCGCCATTTTACAGAGAGACGGAGTCACCTCCGCTTTTGCGCTCGCTCGGAGGCGAAACGCTTTACAGGAAAATTCAATAGATAGCCGGTCGATGGAGGATGTTGTAGAGATTGTTCCGCCGCGCGTGATCTATGGGGGCACCGTGGCCCGGTCTACCCCATAGCCTTCTCCAAGTATCGAAGTGCCTACGACAACTCTCCTGTTCGATCCGCCGTTCCTCCTGAAACGAGATCCAAGTACGGAATGATTTGTAACCTTAGACGGTGCTCTGAAAGAAAGGGAGATATTCCATGCAAACGTAGTTGAACAGTTGCGCAACACCGACTTGGAGTTTCTCGTTTTGTAAAGTAGTGAATAAAAGATGGATTTAAATATATTCAATTTAAATATAAAGTAAGCACTTTGTGTTTTTAATGCCGCTCACAAAAGAACTGACAACCACGGGGAAACATTTACGACGGAATTTCAAAAATACAATCTTCGTAAAATTATTTCCTTCATTTTAGTTCTTGAATCGGATATTTTCATGCTAATTATATTAATTAAACATTTGGCATTAATACAATTTAGATTCTACTTTCGCTGCGATTGTCATACATAAATTATTAACGACATTTATATCGTCTTTTTATATCATCTAATTCGTTTCCTTATTTATAAAATAATATAAAAGAATAGGATTGTCTCAATGCGTATGTATGATTATGTGGTTGTGAGAGATAAAATTTAACGGACATTAAAAATTAAGTATTTCTACATCTATAAGTATCATTTTCTGCTTCCGGACTTAGCGAGTACGGTCTCCTTATGGATCGCTTGATCTCATCATTTACAACGACGGTACGTGGATGTACGTAACCAATGCGATTCAATATAACGGACAGTAACGAGATTGCCGAGAGATCGGTACAATTAATCCCGTTTCGAATTACCGTTCGACGTCGCGCAGTCGTCATCGATCATATGGCACTTACCAGCGCCCTGTCCCGTTTACGTCGTATTTGCTCAGCGAGATCCGCGATGTATTCTCGATTGCCGACGCCGAGCGCGCGGAACCTGCAAAAGAAAAGGAGAGCCCGCCGTCACACTCAGCCTTCATATCCTTTCTTTGATGGGCACGGCACCCCCGCGGAAATGACGGGGGCACGTGCGCCGAGGCGCGGATTACGGGAAATAAAGGTTCGAGGGGAGTAGCACTATCTAGGGCGAGCCGCGTTGGGTTTCCTCGAGCGCACTATTTAATATCGTCGCACCCAAAACGCGAAGATAGAATACGAATGAGACTGACGGTGGGATCCCCGGGTGCATAAACAGATATAATTGAAAATAAAATATTCGATTTAGTTGAGAATACAAGGGTGGGTGCCTTTGTGGGCGAACGAAGAAATGTATGCAATGTTTGGCGGGCGGGGCAAAATTATTTCAAAATAATAGTATAATATCTTTGCCGGTAAAAAGATTGTTCTCGGAAGGAAATTGCAAACCGCCAGAGAGTATCTTGCCATGAAAACTCCTCTAATAGGTCGTTCGGAACCGGCGTTAAACTCTAAGTCCTAAAACTCTGCCTAAAACTGTAAAAGGACGTACAGCATATAATATGCGGAAGGGGTCACCGTGTCTTGAGAAAGAAAAAGATTATTACCTAATTGTTAATATCCAAAATATCCAAAATACCGTATAAATTCTGTTGGCTTTTAACAGCTGGCACTTTTTACAGGATGGTCTGAAAGTAATCATGAGTGACGTTGTCTTTTCGGACAGTCGTGAGCCGTAAATATTGCAGGTGACGCGACCTGGACAATTTATTCATGGTCAAGAAAGCACTGACGTTGTTAATTATCGCTGGCGACATTTGAGAATTCTGATTACTGGACAATTTATCTCCGATTCGTTTCGGAGTGAACGCTAAATTAAGCCAACTGGCGCAAAAAAAACAGGTACTTTCCACGCGAACGGTTGCAGTCATCGATATTTTCTCGATGCTTTGAATAGTCTTTAACGACTTCGCGCTCATAACTCGCACGAATACCTCGCATAACGGAGTCGGGAACGCGCGCGAACCAATCGAACGCAGTATCGATCCTCGTGTGTCGCCAAATTAAATACCTGCGCCCCGCAGTATCGAGGTACCTACCCGATTTTACCCTCGTAAAAAAAATGGACAAATAAAATAAAAGCACGGCAAAAAGCCTCTTTTTTTTAAGTGAATAACGCCCCGGGCTCGCGCCGCAGCGTTTTTTCTTCGGGTTATCGCCGCACGGTGACAGATAATCGAGGGTGATTAATTACTACAGGCGCCGCAGCGTTTGAATGTCGGCCAACTGTGTTATAAACAACGCCGCGCACCTCCGGTAACGCAACTTTCTCTCATACGCTATTCCATTAAACGTTATCAAAGTGTCTCGTTACATGTCAGGTTGGTGCTGCTTCTGTTCGCGTCCGGCGCTGTACGACCGTTTACACGCAGATTTATCGAACGATAAATCAGCATTATCCTATCGGATACAACGCCAGAGAAAAGTTACATTAATTACTCAATCAACCGGGTAGAGAACTTCGATCGTTAAAAATATTTATGGCGGGACAATGATATTAACAGTCACGTTAGCGACTGTCTTTCGCCTTCCCACTACAATACATCACGCATCCAATTTGAAACATTACAATGGCACCATAGTACAAAGCCGTTTGTAATTTGCATTAAACCATTTCAGAAAATCCACTTACATGATAAACATTTAGTTTCAAGCTAAAATAAAAGAAAAATTCTCCCCCTTTCTCTCCTCCGCCTCCTCTCTGCCTCTCTACGTGACGACTGCAAGTCTCAAAGAATGTTATTCGAAAGGAAAAGATTGTCATATATATGTATTAAAACATAAATTTCTTATGTACAATATTTCAGAATCAAGGTTTTTTTTTCAGTACGTATATATAACATAATTCCGCGAGAGAGGAGAAATTCACATTTAAACATTTTCCCGAGAAATTTTAGAACATAAGAATATATTTGCGTGAAACGGCGCTATATAATAATATATTTATGCAGGAAGCTTACGATAAAACCTTCCGATCAGGCATTTTCTAGAGAGAGCCGACTATTCCTCCGCGAAGTAAATTCTTCGTAGAAAAATGTTCTTTTACGATGGCGACGGAAAATTATGCTGATGAATATTTGGAGCGACGTTAGCACACAAGGGAGGAAAATGAGGGTGAGATTGAGCAGGAACAGGTGAAATGGTCGAGGTCGAGTGCATCCGGGTCAATTGGTTGATTACCTGTAATGTAGTTATATCCCCGGAGTGTCGTATCGCCACTAACCAATTCTCCAGTTACCGTCGTGTCTTGTAGTGTTTGTCACACTTACGAGACGTCGGATGAAAAATTAATTGTAAATGCAGCGACAGTGTATGACCGAGAATTGACATTTACTGCGCGAGAAAATGTGAACGCGCGATGTCATGTCCGCGTCATTCTACGCGTCCCGTTTTTCATTTTTATACGAAGATGTCCTAGTGACTTTCACGTCAGATTGTTAGGCGAAAGAGAGAGAGAGAGAGAGAGAAGAGGGGGAAGGAGAAGGAGAGTGAAAAGCGGTGGAAATATCTGAGAGGAACGTTACGTAGGTATAAATATTTCGAGACATAAATTGGAAAATTAATACTCGTGCGCTTAAAATATGTAATAACATACAGGACATTTGATTTAGATTCATTTAATTGTAATTCTAATATTCCGGCATGCATTATATCTTTCCGTCGAACGGATACGAAATATCAAATGCACTGTCTAGATGAGTGATCGATAAAATTTTCATCAAGTAAATTGCGGGATAACAATAAGGGGCTTTTAATATCAATTACGATAATGAGTATATGTACGTGATTACAGCCAGTTACGTATTTATGCCAGGCATGCAGTTTATTGATTATCCCATCATCTCAACATCTGTCACCTTCAACGCTTGCAATTTCACGTGACGCGATGAATGCGATTCGACAGCGTGTTACATAGCACGCTGCTCTCAAGTGTATTAATGTAAAAGCACAAAAAAAGAGACGTGGCATTCAATAAATGTTTTACATTAGCTAAGGATCGATATTTAAACCGTGATATAACGCACCGAAATCCGGAGTTTGCCGTTCTCGCAGATTTAGAGACTCGACGCGGAGCGACGGATTGTTCTGCATTCACTGAGCGTCGCTTTGGGGGCAAACAAGCTAATATTCAAACACCCCATACTTACGATTCTATCGTGTATCCCGGACGAGTGGCGTCCGTGGCGAGATAGCGCCTGGACTGCGGATACGACTGATGGCGTCTGCTGGTTAACAAAGGTACCAATTCGACACCACCCGTAAGCTCGTACACCTGAACCTCCTCCTTGTAGAGATTCCTCGGGTCCGGTTGTGTTTCCGAAGCGATACCTATTCGGGCAAAAGACCGACACGGAGACGAGATTCAAGCTCCGGTAGCAGCGAGAAGCAAGCGGCAACCTCTGCTATTTACCTGGCGTCGCTCTGTCATCGTAGAATTTATTCACGTCCACAACAGCCGGAGGGTCCGTGTTCCTCTTGTATAGTCTGTCGATCGTGGAGTTGCTCGTCCAACCCTGAAGCAAGTCGAAGCTTTTAACCAGTTAACGTTCTTCTCTTTTCTTTATTGTTGCGTTTAATTCCGTTCGCCAATTTGGTACTTTGTACTTTAAACAAACGTGTTTATCTTGTAGCGGACGTTTAAATAAATTGCTATCCTGCCTTCTATCCTTTTTATTTTATTTATAACTTTTAACAGCTGTTTTTACGAAAATCTAGTGATATAGCGTACACCTTATGCACTTTATCCCGAAAAAGAGATGGCAATAAAACAGACGTAATAATTTTGTGTGACATAAACTTGTAATATTTTTGCAACAAGAAACAATGAAAAAGCATTTCCTGAATGTTACTCTAGTCTTGTTTAAGATCACTTGTTTCCGACTATGAATTTTCATTCTTCAAAAATTTCTAATTATCTATAAACCTCGGAATTTCGAAATGCTCGCCGAAATATGATCGGCCGATAACTCAATATAGCGTACGTCAGAGCACACAAGCGATAAGAGGAAACACAAAATCGACGTGCAGAAAGGGCAACGTCTCGAGCAAATCCGCGGGTTCGTATATTATCAGTAGTATACTCGCGGTTTGATCCGACCCGAGTCGCGCGCCCATTCATCAACGTCGGTCTCGTTAGCTGGCTGGTAACAACGAAGCCTGCCGGCTTATTATTAGGAGAGAAAAAAAAGCACGCTATAAATCCGCCCGCCATAAATCGAGATTCGTAGACAAGTACACGGCGACGAGGCAGAAAGGGGAGGGTCGCACGTGCGTCGGGAAGAAGCGCCACGGGCTTAAAGGCATATATCTGATCGGTATAAGCATAATATGAAGGAGCCTGAGCGTAATAAGAGGGTAACTTAGCCCCGAAGTGGAATGCGCTAATAAATTTCCGTCTAAACTTTCCGGTCGCGCTTAGGAGGCCGCCCGGAGGATCGTTCAATTAGCCCGGAGTTATGCGCGTTGCGCACGTTCGAGAGACGGCGCGGGAGCGGTTAATTAAAAATTAAGAGCCGCGCGCTCCTCTCCGAGGAGACATCCATGGGGCGTCAAGGAGCCCACGAGGAAGCCCGGGGCCACGAGGAGAGCGTTCCATTATCGGTCGAACGTTATCACGAGCCGCGGACTAATCTGCCGATGTCCACCCCTTTTTTTTCGGCGCGCGCGCTCCAAGAGACGGGATTTATATTCGCGAAACGAATGAATTACCGTACGGTCGATTGCGTTTAATTGATAACGCCACGCTTTCGTATCAAGTGGCGCACGACTGTTACGCTCCGCAAGATAAATCCGCCGTCGCGAAAATCGTTGCAGCCATCGGACCCGCCGCCCGTCGTGGGCGTCTGCACGGCAACAATTTTTATCTTAAAACTTAATTATGTGATCGTGGCACAGCAGGGCATCTCGAAGAATTTTATGCGAGTAAAGTTAGAATATTAAACTCTCTGGCGCCGAATTAGACTGCGCTTTCATCTCCACGTACGGCTCGCACTGGCCTCACCGTCCCTTTATTGTTTAATTTTATGAGAATTTCTTGAAATTTTACCATACATTTTACTGGCAATTGTACTTACAGTACATTTTACTAGTAGAATGTATGGTAAAGTTTGAAAAAGCTCTCGTTGGCCGGAAATCATAGTCAGATCTCATGTTTAAGACCGTCTTGAATTTATCTAAAGATGCTGTATGGAGCATTTTATTGGCTGCACCGAGAGACACATTTTATCGAATAAAACGAAATAATTTGATTGAATCATTTTGTTGACTGAACGTGTAATTTGGTTGCATAAAACGACAACTATATTGCTGAAAAGAAGTCAAATGTTAAAATTAAATTTTGCTACCATGAGTTGTTTATCTGAACAAAATCTTATGGTTGAGATAACAAATTCGTCCATCTCATCACGTCCTAAATAATTGTGTTTGTTAAATATAAGATCTGACTCTGAATATACCGGCGGTAAAGGTCCTCAAAATGCCACGTTGTCCCACGACTTATGATTTTCAGGGCAAATTTTACGAGAAGATTCTCTCCGTGTGCACCTGAGTCGCACGAGTCACGCGGGCTCTCCGTCCGGCGCGCTGTCATTATTACATAAAACCTCGGACGATTCCTGCGAATCGCGAAATTCTACCTGGGTCGAGTAACTTTAGATTCACGTGCGCGCGTTACAGGCAGTTGAGAAAATTCAGCCTCCGCGGAGGCAGCGCAGAGCCTCCGCGGAGAGAGGCGCGCGAAATTATGCGTGTATATCAATTTCGAATGTCACCGCGCGCACTTTATCCTCCCCCCCTTCCCGCCTTGAACACATTAACTCGTTCGACTCTACGTACACACGGGCGTAATACGCGATTCTCATTTCCGTTTCGTGCGCGAAGATAGTTAATTGAGCACACGCGAGCCGTAAATTTAACAGTAACATCAGAAACGATATTAGTCACCCAGTTTCGACGAGAGCGGAATTATGGAAATTACACGCCCGAAATCGAACGCCAATCTCCTCGATGAACTTATATTTAGCTGGAAATGTCAGTGTCCAAAGCTAGACGTACGTAATTGCAAAAGCGTCCATCTGCAATGCTGTTTATTACTAAATTATACAGGAAAATCGAGATCGCCGCTGCATCGGCGATTAGAATCGCTATTGAAATTCCGTTTCAGTCCGAAGGCGCGCGCGCGCGCGCAATTCGTATAATCGAAAGATAGTTCGCAACGTTTCTACGGCTCCCTTCATCGGAAAAACGCAGGACGATAAAGTGATTTCCCGAGAATTTCATCCGCGAAAAACCCCGGCCGAGCCCCGCAGTTCAGATTAGCCGCATTCGTCATGCGGTGTACAAATAAATACGCGACTCCTCTCCCCCGTCGGCCGGTTTATTGCATTTACTGGTCGCGTGTGCGCGTAAAAAAAAAGGAGAAAAGAGAGGAAGAGAGATTTCGTGAACCACGATTCGGCGCATCTCCGCGCGAAGTGCGGGCGCAATTTAATTTCTTAGCAAAAACGCGCCCCCTCACCCGACGCCCCTCCTTTATTTTATGTATCTCCTTGCGTGGTATCTCTTTACGTGGTAAATTACAGCGCGCAGAAAAAAAATGGCCAACCGCGATTTACTTTTGCGCTCCACCCCGGGATTAATTGCGCAGCAATTCACCATGCGAGCGAGTAGATAACTTCCCCGTTTTTAACGAGGGCGCGTATCGAACAACAGATATCGCGCCTCGTGCTCCCACATAAATTTGTATCGCGTACTCGTTCCATGTATTTCGCTATCGCTCGTTTCGAGGAGCACTTCTCCTCTCCCTCGATTGATACTTTCATTCTTGATGATGTAAAAAAGTCAATAATCTTCCTGCCAAGCGAAATAATTTACCGGTGCGTACGTGACTCAACGATGGAAGCAGATCACGGCCGAGCGAGGGAAATAATTGAGAAGTTTCGTGCAACATTGCGCTAAATTCTTCATTTACGACAGCGGCAAATCTCTCTTTCGTAATCATAGAAGAAGATGCAATTGTGCAAGGTTCAAAATAATTTAAAATACACGCTGTGGCACTTGCTATCGAGAGTTGAAATAATCTTAAAAACGATTTGGATAATTCTAGAACTGTGAGCGATTTACAAAAGAGGTAAAAAAATGTTTGGACGAAGTAACCGCATATTGTCGCAAAATAAATCCGTGACAGTTTTCGCTTAATTTTAAATAAACCGCCACACAAAGGATTTACGACCGCGACAAATTTCTCTTTCGTAATCATAGATGAAAATATAATTATCCGAGGTTCAAAATAATTTAAAATGCAGTGGCATTTGTTATCGAGAGCTGAAATAATCTTAGAAACAATTTGGCTAATTCTAGGACTGTGAATAATTTACAAGAGAGATACAAAAGTTTGGACGAAATAACCGCGCGTTGTCGCAAAGTAAGCCCGTAAAAGTTCGCTTAATTGTAAATAAATTGTTACACAAGAGAGAAGTTTCAAATTGAATTTCACAATTAGAAGCATTTACGAAATTTCTTTTCAGACCAAAAATATAGATCGCCGACACAACCCAATTTCGAAAATAGAAATTGCTTTATATATGGGCGAAAGTACCGTTTTCATGTTTAACAAGTGTATCATCGAACACTTTGTGCGGCCGCAAACGTACCATCGCACGTCTGTACCAAAATTAAATGACGATGTGCAATTTAGAGACGCTACGGCACGATGTTTACCGTGATAAAAAGATTCCCAGACTCTATCCTCCTATCGTCTCCGTGAAAAATATATCAAAATGGACTTATCTCTCTCCCGCAGCGAGCCCTTCAATTACCGCGACGTCTATAGTTTGCGACCCCTCGGGGCCAATGTTCGTCAATCTAACAGGGTTACTCTCGCGCAGCGGTAGAAAGTTTTGATGCAAAGTTGCCAGTACAGGCTGACGCGGGATACTCCCATTCGCCGTGACAATGTAATTTCGTTATCGTTTCAATTGGTTTCTCAGCAGGAGGTTGTTGTTTAAACGTGCAATTACGTAGGAATCGGTTCTCGAAAGTGCAGCGCGAGGCAGCACCCCCTCTCCTTTTCTCTCTTCCACCCCTCGCGAAATTTTATCGAGGGAAAATGGTTTTGCGCCCACCGTCACCGCCAAACAGCGACGTGTGCACAGATGCGCCGGCCTATTTCTGCAATATTCATTTTTAAAGACCACGTCTGCGTATAAAAATGATTTAATTGCCCTTTTCCGTATTGATTATTATGCATTCTCTATTAGTTATTATATAACGTGAGCGGTACTCTATAACTGATGTCTCTTTCAAAATAACTCGTTTTCCAAAATAGTTTTGTCAACGAAAGACTTTGATGCGAGCAAAATTGACTAAAATTAACAGAACACGTGTGCGTATAAAAACGACTTGTCCTTTTCCGTATTGATTATTATGTGTTCTGTATTAGTTATTATATAACGTGACTGGTACTCTATAA